ACAGACGGTTGTTGATCACGTGACTCCCGTGATGCGAAAAAAGTGTTTCCATTGTAGTTTTGTGAAAAACACCAATTTCAGCCGAAAAACCACCTCATCCTAGTGCAAAAACATTTTGTCGAAAAACGTCATTTTTTTCCGAAACTGACGTGTTTCCATTGAGCAAATTTATTTTCGAAATTCTAATTTGCGCCTTTTCATGGTCAATGGAAACGCAGCTACAGACTGCATAATTCTGACTTCCTGTAACACAGTTCTGAGTTCTTACTGTGAAACCACCTCCTCATAATACTGAACCACACATGGAAGATCTGTTCAATGAAWCACATATTTTATATGAAACACACCTAAAATAGTTGTTTTTGTTTGATGATATGATACTAAACTCAATGATTCCAGTTCAAAAGATGAAAAAGTTACAGGAAGACATAAATGTTGGTTTGTTTTGGCTCCACATTAGGTTCAGGTTCAGGCAGACTGCCGGCCTCGCTCCTCTGTGGACAGAAAAACATCTTTAAAAGGCAGTTTGACCTGCAGACGTGTGTACAACGGTACAACTGGAAACTGATGGCTTCAGTCCAGACAGTGGACTGAGGGTGGGGGACTGTGATTGTCAAGGCAAGCGTTGACATCTGCATAGTGGGACGAAGGCACGAGTCCACACAGGGTGGGAGTGGAGTGCATTTCCTATCCAGGTCACAGGAAGTGATGTAACAGAGGACAAACAGCTGCTCTGACAGGGTTAGGACTTGTCTCTGGTAGACTGCAGGAACCACGTTTGTTTCTCAGGCTTTTCTTTGGTTTTTAGCTCAGTTCATTTGCTGTTTCTACTGCAGGAAGTCTTTGTTTTGATCACACATGTGCAGGAGTCAGTTAGCTGTCTTTATAAAGCTGCTGAAAAACAAGAAAGACTTGAGTGAAAGTGAAGACGACACCTTCCCTTTGTTTCCTTTGACACAGGACAGCAGTTAGTTTGTAAAAACACAGCTTCCCTTTGGTCGTTGGAGTTTTATAATGTAGATTTCAGCCTGACGGCTGCAGCTCCTCGCTCACATCTCGTTCCCTGAGGACTGAAACATCTCTGAGCAAACATACAGCCTCCGTCACACCACGAACTCGGGCACCTCGTCGGTGGTCAGGTCCAGAGAGAAGTACTTGTTGGTCCTCTTGATGGGGAACGGGTGCTGCTCAGAGAGGGTGGCAGCCCGCTGGTCGGACAGGCCCTGCTGCCCGCTGCTGTCACTCAGTTCCTGAGCGCAGCCAAAAGTGTAGCTGTGGGCGGTGTCCTGGCAGAGCTCCGCCCACTGCTGGCAGTCCTTCTGGTGGAGCCGAATGTCGTCTAGAGACTGGCTGTGGCGGTCGGTGGAAGACCGAGGCTTTCGACATGTAGGCGTCTGAAGGAAGAGGAAATCAAATGTTCTAAAGACCAAATACAACAAAATGTGTCGAAAATAATTGTTTTACAAAAGTCATTAGTATTTTTATCTGTTAACCCTCCTGTTATGTTTGTTTCTGAGGAACAACAACAATGTTCCTGGGTCAGTTTGACCCGGGGAATGTTTAATAATGCTATAGCAGAGATTCTTAACCTATGAGCGCCACCTTCAGGGCCTCAGAAGAACAACAGTTTTTAACTTTGGGCCACAGAGGGTTGTGGGACCACATTGAGTTTGAATAAGATGCAATACACTTTCTCACAACTAGTAGCAGTAGTGCACCACTCAGATGTTTAACAACTTTTTAATATGTAGAAGAAGAAC